CCCCCCGCCCGGCCCCCCCCCCCGGCAGGGACCAGCGGTCCCGCCATGGGTTTGAAGTAAACACAGCTGAGCCGGAGGCGAGACCCACCACCAGAGTCACCCTGCAAACCGCCCGCGGGTGCGTGGCAGAGGAGGTGGGAGCGGGGCTGCTGGGGGGGGTCTGCCCATCCCCGGCGCCCTGGGAGCTGCGTGGCACGGGGACCCGGTCTGCTCCGGGCACAGCTTGCTGCGTACTTGGAAAGTGCAGACCTTGCTGCCAAATAGCATATCGGGGCAGGGCAGGATCCTGCAGGATGGGGCAGCAGGGAGGGAGGGAGGAAACGCTCGCTCTCCGCATTACCTACATCGGCTGCCTCTGCGCTCCCACCCACTGCAAACACTCACTGAACTACTGAAGAGCCGATGGCTCTCCAAAGCCTGCCTGCCCTTGGCCTGAGCAGCCGCCCCGGGGACTCCTCACAGCCCTGCCTGAAGGGGAAAAGTTCAGGAATGCAGAAAAGTTAACAGCATGGCTGGCTCTCCAGGCCACGGCCAAGTCCAAAGGCTTGAAGTTTTAACACATGATCATATAATTAGTAAACAGTCCTCTCCGTCCTCTCCTCTCCCCAGCGCTTCGTGAGCTCTCCTTGCAGCCACCCTTGGCATTTGGTTGAGACACAGGATATGAGACCAGGTACAGGGCAGGGACTGGGATCGGCAGGAGGCAGCTCCCACCTTCATAAAGCTGGGCATACTGAGGGAATCCCGCCGCTCGCAGCCAGTCACAAGCTTTCTTGGCTTCGATTTCTGAAAGAAAGCAAAGAACCAGCCTGAGCATCCCGGCCGGCAGCAGCCATGCTCCCCTCAGCAGCAGCGTGTTCCCCCCCAGCTCCCGCTGCCGGAGTGCTCCAGCAGTGCCCGAGCCTGTGTTTCATGTGCACAAAGTGGAGGAAATGATCGACGGCAAAAACGGGAACCGGGGAGCCTGGGGATGTGCTGGTGGGCAGCGATGCCCATGCGTGGAGGGGGGTCTCTGCCCAAAGGAGCAGAAACTGCTCAGCTTTAGCCTCTCCGCTAGCACAAGGCAAAGAGGAGGAGGTAACACAGGAGTGATAGGGCCACATGACACAATTTTAACCTCCCAATGAAACATTTCGTTTCTGAACCCACCAAACCAAATACAATACTTTGCCAGGCAAGAGAGGAAGATCTTTAGTTTTAACGATTAGTTCAGAGCTCATCAAAGCTTAGGGCCGGACCACTTCATGGGTCTTTTGCAAACATCCTCCAGAAACGGCTGCCAAAGAAACCTTTCCTTCTCCCTTGTCCTTCCCACCACCCCAGACCACCCCACCTCTTCTTTCAAGCTGGCGTTCATCCTGGCAGGCACCAAAACCCTGATGGCTTCCTACACCCCCTGCCTGGCCGGTTCCCATCCCTCACACATGGTTCAGCTATCGCCTGGATGAGCCCATCCAACGGCCAGCACTATTTTTTGGGAAATTTCTCAAATTTACAGAACTTGAGGGAAAACAGCCCAAAGCTCACGCAGCCAAAGCAAGCTGCTGCCTGGTGTCGGCAGTCCATCAGTCTGCTGAGATTTATACCTCTGATGGTAACAAACATTTGACCTCAAGCGGAGAAAATGGGACGGCAGTTTCAGGGTCTTGCCTGTCCCTCTCGGAGGCACCACCCAGCACAGACTGGACTGAGGCCGGATCCACCCAGAGCGGATTGCAGTGAAACACCCCAATTTCATCACCATCCACCAACAGCCTCAGCCAAGAGCTCTGGCTGCATTTACAATTACAAAGCTACAGCAGGGGAAAAAAAAAAAAAAAGCCCAAAACAAGCAGTTCAGTTAAGGACGGGACCAAGCTAAAACCCTGGACCCAAATACTTCAGAAGTTTTGGGAAGAAGGTTTGGAATAAGCATCTGCATCCCGGTCCAAACTGTGCAGCTGTCCTTAGCCGTGCCGTGAACCCAGCCAAAATCCGTGGCTGACCCCTCCTGCCCTCGCCAGGGCTCAAACCCAGTAACCCCAGCAGAGACCTCAACCCTGGAGCCCGACCAGGTCAGCCCGGTCCCCGTGGAGCACCGCATCCCTCCCGCGTACCCCAGCAGTTCCGCAGGGGAAGGCTGTGACAGTCCAGCTGGGAGGGCACCAAGACTCCTGGTCCATGTGAATGGTCTTTTGTCATGACAGCCCCAGAGAGCAGATCCCTCACGAATCCGCAGGGTGGGTAGGGTCCAAGGATGAGCATTTCCCACAGCCCCCCGGCCAACGGACCTGCCAGACCCCCCTCCTGCTCTGCTCTGCTCTGCTCCTCCTTCGCTCACAACGGAGTCACTGGCCATGGGGCCATCACCGCCAGAGGCTGCAGACCAGGGGCCCCCCACCAAGCACCGAAACCCCCATCCCC